TCAGCAAAAGGAAAGGGGGAAAAAAGTTATTTTTGTGCCGTTCCTTTGGGCAAAAATAGATTCCTTCCATGAGTCATGCAAGGAGGCAGGGAACAGAGCACCACGCCGAGTGAACAATCCTGCTTTCAGTCGGTCCTTAATTTTTCTCAAAATGTACCTTGGTGGAGTTCATATCCTCACCCTCAAAAGCTCTTCGGTATAATTCTAGATATCAGGGGGTAGCCTAACCTTACTTATAAACACTGCAGGACCATCCCATGCGGAGACTGACCTCTTATAAGGTTTGGGCCGCCTTTAAGCCATTTATGGCCCACCAACATTCTGTTTTCCGTTCTTGAGTTCGGAGTAGAGCAACTGCTTTGGGAGACGGTGGTTGGGCATCTGGACAACATGGCCAATCTAGCAGAGTTGATGGCGGAGGACTATCGCTTCAGTGCTGGTGGTCTTTGTTTCTTCCAGCACGCTGACATATGTCCGCTTGTCTACCCAAAAGATTTGCAGGACTTTCCGGAGGCAGCGCTGATGGAATCGTTCCAGGAGTTGGGTGTGACGTCTGTAGACAGTCCACATTTCACAGACGTATAGCAGGGTAGGGAGGACAATCTATATATATAAATAAATGCTCTGTGCATAATGAATACCTTAAAAACAAAAGAACCAATGAACGAAATCACACCAAATTTGGCAACAAAACATCTCACAATACAAGGATTGACCATCACTCAAAAAATTATGACTTTGTCATTTGGGAGTTGTAGTTGCTGGGATTTATAGTTCACCTATAATCGAATAGCATTCTGGACTCCATCAATGATGGAATTGAACCAAACTTGGCACACAGAACTCCCATGACAAACAGAAAATACTGAAAGAGTTTGATGGGCATTGACCTTGAGTTTGGGAGTTGTAGTTCACCTACATCCAGAGAGCACTGTGGACTCAAACAATGATAGATCTGAACCAAACTTGGCACAAGCACACAATACACCCAAATATGAACACAGGTGTAGTTTGGGGAAAATAGACATTGACATTTGGTCAGTTGGTCATGGGGGTTCTGTGTGGGAAGTTTGCCCCATTTCTGTCGTTGGTGGAGTTCAGAATGTTCTTTGATTGTAGGTGAACTATAAATCCCAGCAACTACAACTCCCAAATGTCAAGGTCTATTTCCTCAAATTCCGCTAGTGTTCACATTTGGGCATATTGAGTATTCGGGCCAAGTTTGGTCCAGATCCATCATTGCCTGAATCCACAGTGCTCTCTGGATGTAGCTGAATTACAACTCTATAACTCAAGTTCAATGCCCACCAAACCCTTCCAGTAGTTTCTTTTGGTCATGGGCGTTCTGTGTGCCAAGTTTGGTTCAGTTCCATCATTGGTGGGGTTCAGAATGCTCTTTGATTGTAGGTGAACTATAAATCCCAGCAACTACAACTCCAAAATGTCAAGATCTGTTTCCCCTAAACTCCACCAGTGTTCACATTGTGGCATATTTGAACTGGAGGGGTTGGGGGGGGGGAGTGACCTCCTTTCTGGGAGTTGTAGTTCACCCACAAGCAGAAGGATTTGAGGGGATTGACCCACCATAGTGGGAGTTGTACTTTACCCTACAGCCAGAGAGCACACTGAGCCATCTAGAGGAAACCTCAAATGCCTCTAGGAAGCCCACAGGCAAGACATCCTTTTGTGTTCTTTCTTGCAACTGGCTCTGATGCTGGACGCAATATATACGAGGGTTGAATGAAAAGTAATGCCACCACCCTCGTAACTCCTCAACAGATGGCAGTACTGGTATGCGGCAGGTACTGGTTTGTTCAGTAGACTCTCCTCTACAGTTCCATTTTGGCGGGAAGCCTTAGCATTGAACGGCTGTGTTGTTAAAATGTGAGGTATGGAACCGTGCGCAGACGGTTGGCCAATCCGATGTAAGCAATGTGCAGTCATTGAATTCTTGACAGCAGAAGGTGTCACCCCAAAGGAGATTCATCAGATAATGCAGGCTGCTTATGGGGATTGTGTTGATGTGGGTACTGTGCATCGTTGGGCGAGTAAGTTGAAAGATGTTGAGGTGGGAACATCTGACTTGAGTGACAAACAAAGAGTTGGACGTCCTGTGACAGCAACCACCGAGTTTCACAAGCAAAAGGTTGACAGATGGATTCAGGACGATCGTCGTATCACTTCGCGGGAAATTTCAAGCATAATCGGTATTTCACAAGAACGTGTGGATCACATTATTGCTTTGCTTGGCTATCGGAAGATCTGTGCACGATGGGTACCCAGGATGCTGACGCTTGAAATGAAAACACACAGACTTGAAACTTCAGAGACTGGATCTCACCACCATACGACATCCTCCATACAGTCCAGATTTAGCACCGTCTGACTTCCATCTGTTCCTGATAATGAAATAAGATCTGCAGGGACGTCATTATGCTTCCGATGAAGACATTGAGAGATCTGTGCATGATGGGTACCCAGAATGAGAGATCTGTGAGACGTGGGTTGCGGAAACAGAGTGTCGCCTTCTTCCGTGACGGCTTCAGAAAGCTTGTTCATTGTTGGCAGAAATGTATCCAATTGTCTGGTGATTATGTGGGAAAGTGAATGTTGTTGTTGTTGTTCATTCGTTCAGTCGTCTCCGACTCTTCGTGACCGCATGGACCAGCCCACGCCAGAGCTCCCTGTCGGCCGTTACCACCCCCAGCTCCCTCAAGGTCAGTCCAGTCACTTCAAGGATGCCATCCATCCATCTTGCCCTTGGTCGGCCCCTCTTCCTTTTTCCTTCCATTTTCCCCAGCATCATTGTCATCTCCAAGCTTTCCTGTGTTCTGATGATGTGGCCAAAGTATTTCATCTTTGCCTCCAATATCCTTCCATCCAGTGAGCAGTCAGGCTTTATTTCCTGGAAGGATGGACTGGTTGGATCTTCTCGCAGTCCAAGGCACTCTCAGAACTTTCCTCCAACACCACAGCTCAAAAGCATCGATCTTCCTTCGCTCAGCCTTCCCTAAGGTCCAGCTCTCACATCCGTAGGTTACTACAGGGAATACCATGGCTTTGACTAGGCGGATCTTTGTTGCCAGTCTGATGTCTCTACTCTTACTATTTTATCGAGACTGGACATTGCTCTCCTCCCAAGAAGTAAGCGTCTTCTGATTTCCTGGCCACAGTCTGCATCTGCACTCATCTTTGCACCTAGAAATACAAAGTCTGTCACGGCCTCCACGGTTTCTCCCTCTATTTTCCAGTTGTCAATCATTCTTGTTGCCATAATCTTGGTTTTTTTCGTTTAGCTGCAACCCGGCTTTTGCGCTTTCTTCTTTCACCTTGATTAGAAGGCTCCTCAGCTCCTCCTCGCTTTCGGCCATCAGAGTGGTGTCATCTGCATATCTGAGGTTGTTAATGTTTGTTAATGGGAAAGTGAATAGTGGTAATTAAAGAGTACATTCTAAAGATTATTTCTGCATTTGATTTATTAAAATATTTCCATCCAAACCCAAGTAACGAAGGCGGACGCATTACTTTTCATTCATCTTTGGTAGAAATGTATCCAATTGTCTGGTGGTTGTGTGGGAAAGTGAATAGTGGTAGTTAAAGAGCACATTCTATAGATTATTTGATTTATTGAAATATTCCCATCCAAACTCAAGTAACGAAGGTGTAGGCATTACTTTTCATTCATCGTTGGTAGAAATGTATCCAATTACCTGGTGGTTGTGTGGGAAAGTGAATACTGGGAGTTAAAGAGCACATTCTAAGGATTATTTCTGCGTTTGATTTATTAAAAATATTCCCATCCAAACCCAAGTAACGAAGGCGGACGCATTACTTTTCATTCATCGTTGGTAGAAATGTATCCAATTGTCTGGTGGTTGTGTGGGAAAGTGAACAGTGGTAGTTAAAGAACACATTCTAAGGATTATTTCTGTGTTTTATTTATTAAAATATTCCTATCCAAACCCAAGTAACGAAGGTGGAAGCATTACTTTTCATTCATCGTTGGTAGAAATGTATCCAATTGTCTGGTGGTTGTGTGGGAAAGTAAATAGTGGTAGTTAAAGAGCTCGTTATGAGCATTATTTCTGCGTTTGATTTATTAAAATATATCAGGATTAATTTAGATATATGTGCGTTTTAAATGTGCTTCTATGTAATTTCAAGATGGAGTCTACTGTGTATTAGAAATTGCTGTGCAGAATGTCCATGAGGCTGTGATTAAGTAACCTTGAGACAAATGAGATAATGTATGCTCTACCTGGGAACAGAAGGGAGTCACCCGTCTCAGCCAGAGAGAAGAGAGATAAGCAGGTGTGCAGGGACTTTCGGTTTTCCACTAGTTCCAGTTTATAGCTCGCTGTGATAAGACGTGTGTTTGATGTACTTAGTAAAACTTAGTTTCTTTTGTAACTGAAAGCCTGCACAGTCCTTATTTCGCATCTCAGTGTCTGCTGATCTAGCAATCCTTCCGCTGGCAAACATCAACACTCTGACAAAATATTCCCATCCAAATCTAAACCTCGTATAATTTAGAACGACAACACTCGTAATCCTTCCTCCAAACCCCCTTTTATGCAGCGGCGCACAGAGCTTCCGTACACCCTTCTTGTCTTACTTGGCGTTGCGTGTGTTTTCCAGTGAGCTTTATGAAGTCAGACCTAATTTTAGTGTGGACTTCAAACCCAGAGCCCTGCGTACCAAGTTAATTTCCTCCTCCCTCCGTGCAAGCTTCCAAAAGTTCCCATTCTCTTGGTCAACCAGCTAACGTGAAACAAGAGAGGCCTACAGAGGAACCGGTCTCTTTTGAAGGTTGTTTATTTTGATCTGGTTTCCTTTCCCCTCCATTTCTTTTCTGTTGGAAAATGCTGCAGGGGAGGCTTTTAAATATCCACTTTGGCTCTGGATCCCCTTCGGGAAAAAAGGGGGAGAAGCAACGTTTTTCTTGCTGTCTCTCTTGGACTCCATCATAATTCTGTTTTGCTTCTCTGTCTCTCCTTCAGCTACATGAAAGTAACTACGATGCTGGCAAAGCCCTCCAACGCCTGGTGAAAAAGCCCGTGCCCAAACTCATTGAGAAGTGCTGGACGGAAGACGAAGTGGTAAGGAGCTATATTGTTGTTGCTGTTGTTGTTGTTGCTCTGATTTGCTGCAGTATAAGTAGAGGTTTATTTATTTTGTATCAAAGGCATTACATAAATTAGTATAAAGCTGATAAAAATAGAAGGAGCACAGGCAGCTAAATATCTTTTGACGAAAAACGGGCAACAGTAACAGCATTGTCTGTAGCCTCCAACAATTCTTCCTCTGTACATGATACAGGGCATAGTGGACAAGCATACAGATGCGGAGTTGTTTGTTCTGTTCCACAGTCACACAAGGTGTAGGATTCTTTTAGGTAGTGCCATTTTGCCAGGTTGTCTTTTCAGGGGTTTTTCACAGTGGGGGGGTTTCACAGGGTTCAACCTTATTTATCTCACATTTAGCAGCAACTTCCCAAATGCCAACTATCTTGGAGAGTTTATCAACAGGTGTAGGTTTAAGACATCCAGTGATTATTCTGCATGTTTCATTCAATGCTATGTTCACCTGCTTTGCATGGAGTGGTAGTTCTCATAAAGCTTTTCTTTGATTGGAGTCTACTGGGAGGAGGCTGGTAGCCATGTAGTGGCTCAACCTTATTTCTCTCACATTTAGCACCAACTTCCCATCACACATCAGGGAGAGCAGTGCCAACTAGCTTGTAGAGTTTATCAACAGGTGTAGGTTTATACAAGGCCAGAGCTGATGTTCTTACTAATTTTGGGTCTGCATCCCATCTGCTGCCAGTACGTTTTCGCGTGCAGCTACTTTGTACTTGGTGTTTAAGCAGTGTTTCCTATATGCTAGTGTTCGATCTAAGGTGACACCGAGATATTGGGTGTGGGTGGCTTTCACAGGGTTCAACCTTATTTCTCTCACATTTAGCAGCAACTTCCCATTGCACATCGGGGTGCGGGGGCAATGCCTGCTAGCTTGAAGAGTTTATCAACAGTAGTAGGTTTAAGATGTCCTGTGATTATTCTGCATATTTCATTCAATGCTATGTTCCCCTGGTTTGGATGGAGTAGTAATTTTCATAAAGCTTTCCCTTGATTCGAGTCTACTGGGAGGAGGCTGGTAGCCATGCAGTCGATGGCTTTCACAGGGTTCAACCTTATTTCTCTCACATTGAGCAGCAACTTCCCAAACACCAACTATCTTGGAGAGTTAATCAACAGGTGTAGGTTGAAGACATCCTGTGATTATTCTGCATGTTTCATTCAATGCTATGTTCCCCTGGTTTGCATGGAGTGGTAGTTCTCATGAAGCTTTCCCTTGATTGGAGTCTACTGGGAGGAGGCTGGTAGCCATGCAGTGGGTGGCTTTCACAGGGTTCAACCTTATTTCTCTCACATTTAGCAGCAACTTCCCATCGCACATCAAGGGGGGGGGGGGGCAATGCCAGCTAGCTTGTAGAGTTTATCAACAGGTGTAGGTTTAATACATCCTGTGATTATTCTGCATGTTTCATTCAATGCTATGTTCACCTGCTTTGCATGGAGTGGTAGTTCTCATAAAACTTTTCCTTGATTTGAGTCTACTGGGAGGAGGCTGGTAGCCATGCAGTGGGGGGCTTTCACAGTGTCCAACCTTATTTCTCTGACAAGATTAGTGAGGAGAGAGTTTCCGACGCTCATCAAAGTAACAGCCATTGGGTTCATAGCGTGTGCACTTAATTAACTAAAGGCAAATGACGGTGACATTATGCAGCGCGAACGAGGTCAGATCCTGTATTCCCTCACAGTCTTTCCGGCAGCAAAGCCCTGAGGCACACAAGAGTTCTCCTGACTGCCGCGGGCTTCCTCCGGGCCTGTCTCGCTCAGCTGCCGGGAAAAGGAAGCTTTTTAACTACGTCAATATTGGATGTGTCTGTTGTCGTTTTTCCCCAGGTAGCTTGGAGAAGGAAGGTTCTGAGGGCCTTGTTGGTGCTGATTTAGTCAAAACTGGTTGTCTGCTTTCTGTTGACATCTCCGTATGTCTTCACACACACGCATGAAAAACATACTGCGCTTGTGTACGGTGTAGAGTGGTGGTTCTCAACCAGCTGTTAGGGTTTCTGGGAGTTGAAGGCCAAAACATCTGGAGACCCACAGGTTGAGAACCACTGGTGTAGACTTTCCTGTCCATAAGATCTAATCTAGGAGTAGAGGAACTGTCTATAGCTCTGTTGTCATGGACCAATCATATCATGGTGGGGTTTGGACTTGGTGGGACTCAGAACCCTCGCAGAGATGGGCAGCCCATTAAGATAATAATTAAAAAGTAATAATAAAACTTTATTTATATACTGCTCTATCTCCCCAAGGGAACTCAGGGTAGTTTCCAAGTAACAGAATAAAATAAGTAAAGGGTTAGGGTAAGTAATCTTATCTCTTTTTTGGCAGAGTTAGACATTTGGTAGATCGGGGGAGTGCTCCCGATGTAATATATCTTCATTATTCTTATAAATAGGATTGTGAACATATTACAATTTGGTGGTTCTGGAATAGAACAGAGAGAGTGTTCATAAATGATCGACTTGATCATGGAGGATATATATTACTAATGTTATGATTATTAAAAATATTATAATATTATTATAGTAAGGTAAAGGTAAAGGTTTTCCTCTGACATTAAGTCCAGTTGTGTTCAACTCTGCGGGGTTGATGCTCATCTCCATTTCTAAGCCAAAGAGCCGGCATTGTCCATAAACACTTCCAAGGTCATATGGCCGGCATGATTGCATGGAGTGCTGTTACCTTCCCGCCGGAGCGGTACCTATTGATCTACTCATATTTGCATGTTTTTGAACTACTAGGTTGGCAGAAGCTGGGGCTAACAGCGGGAGCTCACTGCACTCCCCGGATTTGAAACTGCGACCTTTGGTCAACAAGCTCAGCAGCGCAGCGGTTTAACCCACTAGGCCACCGGGGGATCCAAAATAATATATGTAAGAATAATAATAAATAGAGTAAAATAATAAATGCAATAATAATAATAATAGAGTAAAATAATAAATGTAATATAAACAATTATAGAGTAAAATAATAAATGTAATATAAACAATTATAGAGAAAAAATAAATGCAATAAAATAAGAATATAGTAAAATAATGGAACTATAATAATAATTAATAGAGTAAAATAATGTAACTGTAATAATAAAAATAAAAAGTAGAGTAAAATAATAAATGTAATAAAATAATAATAATACAGTAACTGTAATAATAGTAAATAGAGTAAAATATTAAATGTAATAAAGTAATAATACAGTAAAATAATGTAATTGTAATAATAGAGTAAAATAATAAATGTAATAAAATAATAATACAGTAAAATAATGTAACTAATAATAATAATAATAAATAGAGTAAAATAATAAATGTAATAAAATAATAATACAGTAAAATAATGCAATTGTAATAATACAGTAAAATAATGTAACAGTAATAATAAAAATAAAAAATAGAGTAAAATAATAAATCTAATAAAATAATAATACAGTAAAATAATGTAACGGTAATAATAATAGATTAAAATAATAAATGTAATAAAATAATAATAATACAGTAAAACAATGGAGAATGTACCATGGATGATGGGTACCTTCACTCGCTTCCCGAGACCACTGTGACACTCATCCAATGACTGATCAAGACCAAACTTGGCACACAGAGCCCCCATGACCCACTCTACATCCTGGTGCTGTTTGGAGGAGGATGGACCATGGGTGATGGGACTCGCAGTACCTTCACTAACTTCCTGAGACCGCTGTGAGCTACATAAATAACTGAGAAAGACCAACCTTGGCACACAATACCTTTCTCGAATAACCCGGGCACCGCCGGGTCCCCAAGCTAGTCATCAATAAAAGGATTATTCCCCTACTCAACTGTGTGGTGTTTAAAGTCAGAGGGCTTTTCCTGGTCTGGAGTGCAACAACGACAGTGGTTCCATGGGGAGAAAAATTCAAAGCGAGTGAAGTGACTTCAGATTTACCAGAGGAGAAAGAGGGAAGAGGAAAGATAGGCGTCGTACGCATAGAGCTTCTCTTGAGATCTAAAACTGTGGGGTGGAGAGCAAGAGCTTTTGGTTGATAGGCAGAACACATCTAGGGAAAACACAAGGAAGAGCAGTCAGCATCCAAGAGCCAGGCTCCTGGCATCTTTCAGATAGGAATTGAGGACGGGAAGACCTTACGGCAGTGTTTCTCAGCCTTCCTAATGCCACGACCCCTTAGTACAGGATCTCACGTTGTGGTGACCCCCAAACATAACGTTATTTTCGTTGCTGCTTCTTTAATTTTGCTCCTGTTATGAATCGTAACATAAATGTCTGATATGCAGGGTGTATTTTCTTTCACTGGACCAAATTTGGCACAAATACCTGATGCACCCAAATTTGAATTGGGAATGTTGGAGTTGCTGGGATGTATAGGTAAAGGTAAAGGTAAAGGTAGTCCCCTGACATTAAGTCCAGTCATGTCTGACTCTGAGGTGTGGTGCTCATCTCCATTTCTAAGCCAAAGAGCCAGCGTTGTCTGTAGACACCTCCAAGGTCATGTGGCCGGCATGACTGCATGGAGCGCTGTTACCTTCCCGCCGGAGCGGTACCTATTGATCTACTCACATTTGCATGTTTTCGAACTGCTAGGTTGGCAGAAGCTAGGGCTAACAGCGGAAGCTCACGCCGCTCCCCGGAATCGAACCTGCGACCTTTCGATCAACAAGCTCAACAGCTCAGTGCTTTAACCCACTGCGCCACTGGGGGCTCCCTATGGGATGTATAGTTCACCTAAAATCAAAGAGCCTTTTGAACTCCACCAATGATGGAATTGAATCAAATTTGACACACAGAATTCCCATGGCGAAGAGAAATACTGGGAGAGTCTGGTGGACACTGACCTTGAGTTTTTGGAGTTGTAGTTCACCTACATCCATAGAACACTGTGGACTCAAACAGTGATGGATCTGGATCAGACTTGGCACAGATAATCAGTATGCCCAAATGTGAACACTGGCAGAGTTTGGAGAAAATAGACC